AAGGTCAGTGAAGAAGGAGGGAAGGAGGAACTCCAGGGCACAGACACAAACTCCTCTCCCTGACAAGAAAGCAGTGGCAGAGACAAGGTGTGATGAACTGACCACGAGCCCCTTTCCCTGTCAAGGAAAAAAGTGGGAGGAGGCTGTTTTTAAGATTTGGTTCTATTCCTCATTATCCTTTTATGATTAGATGGATAAAAAATTGAACTAATTTTTCTCCAGGTTGAGTCTGTTTTGCCCCTGACACTAACTGATGAGTGATCTCCTCATTCATATCTTGACCCATGAGCCTTTCATTATATTTTCTGCCCCCTGTCCAGCTGGGAAGGGAATAACAGAAAGGCTTTGGGGGACATTTGACATCCAGCCAGGGTCAACCCATCACAATGGAGAAATAAAAATGCAAAATTTCTCAGGCTATCAGGCTCTTTTTGGATCTCCTCTTAAAAAATCCAGCTTTTCTTAGTTCATTGGGTTTGCTGTCAGTTGTGTTTAAATCCATTTCAAAGATTTGCATCTGGACGACCATGAGATAATTTTAAAATGTCGTGTTATACTCCTAGTTTTGGGCTCATGAGAAGCCATGGAGGAAAGCAGAGAAATTATAGGTGTTCTTTTTCATTCAGCTCTATCAGAAGTGTGACAGACAGCATTTCTGCCCAGACTATGCATATACATAAAAAAAAAGTCAGTTTTAAAAACATAGCAAAACTAACACCTACACGAGCTTGTGCTGTTGCAGCTAACACATATCTTACAATATATTAACTCAGGGCTTTAAGAATGCTCATTCCCAAATAATTTTCAATGAACATTCCTAATCTCCAGCAAATAAGAAAGCTTACTGTGCTGTTTATGATTTTCACTGCTGAGCGTTACAACTGTTTCATTTAATAACCTACAATCTCTTAACACTTAGCAACACACCTTGTGTAAACTACACACCACTTTCCTTCTGAAGCTTCACTCTTGGTTTTTCTGCCCACACTCCCATTGTGTGGGCGGCACATAAAACAAGTACCTCTCCCTGTTGGTGCAGTTGCCACTTTTCATCTCTAGAACAATATCCATCTAATCAGACAGTGCCTGTAAATGCAACTTAAAAGAGCAGGTTGTAATTTCATTAAAGAGGTATTTACTGAGCTAAAACAGCTGTTCTGGGCTGGAATGCAAAAAAAGGCCTATGTGATTGCAACTCAGTCATTTTTAAGGCAACTGAAAAATACATTTGCTGAGCTAACCTCACTCTCCCAAAGAGCTGGCACTGCTAACTTCTTCTGTATAAAAGGTTTAAACAGTTATTATAGTGTGTCATAAATTTTGACTTGTAATTGAAAATCTCTTCACTTCCTAAAAAAAAAAAAAGAAGTACTTATTACTTGCCATATAATTACAGACCATGCAGCTGCTCTCCTCAGCTTCACTAGAATATTTGAAGACATGAAACACTGTACAAACCTTATTCAAATGTTATTAAATTGCTAGTCATAGATCTGCCACTCTCATACTGTAGGCTCTCAAATAATGTCATTTTCTTCTTGTTACCAGGGCTAAAATGTAGATGAATGAAAATTAGATCCAGGCCAGATTGAGTTCTCTACCACATAAGAGACCATCAGCTCCTTGGAAGGAAAGTATAACCTCTATTTCTGCTGAGCAGACATCAAAGGGAAAGATACCTGAACACATATCTGGAAAAAAAATTTCAATGCATAAAGACAAATTTTATTGAATTTTCAGTAGGTTTTAATCATTATGCATGGCCACAACTGTGTGAGTCACTTTGACACAATCTTTGTGCCATTTCCTTGTGTCACTTCTAATGAGAAAAAACTCTATTCTATGGAATAGTGAACCTCATATTGCAGCCAAAGGCACAGGACTGGCCCCACAACATCCTGTTCACCTCCAGTAGTTTGACATGAGTCATACTTGATTAACTATTCCCCACCCTTTGTGTACTGTGGAGGCTGTGGTGTGAGGCTGAATTTTTTGGAGCAATTAAAATAAAATATACACCATGTGCCTCTACATTTGATTCACAATGCATTTCAGTCTTGGGTCACTGATTTGAAGTGGACAGCTTCTGGAAAAAGGCTTTACATACTCCAGACTTCACACTGGATTTTGCGTCTCCCTGTTGGTGCAGTATCAACATTTAGATCAACAAGATATTAATTTGCTGGAACCAATTTGGGGTCTAACAAGAATTTTAAGCACTGAAGAACATAAATAATTCTTTATCACAGTGGCACAAAAGAACTATGAAAACAGCTTTCATACATTACTCACACTACTGTTTTCACCTAGTATTTATCATTTTTTTAAATTCCTGCCCAGTTACACACAGAGGAGCTCCATGACATAAATAATAGTCTGAAATCTCAAGTCAGGTCTACAGGATGTTGGATAAGTAACTTCCTTTGACCACTAGTGAGACCAGTGTTTCCCAGGCATTTTAAAATTTGCTTCTCAGAGATACAGACTATCACGGGTTGATTTAGATCATCAGTTCAAAACAACTGAAATTGGGAATGAAGTTTTGCACCATCAGAATAAACTGTTTATTCTCAGATTTGAAGCATGGTTATTTATATATATACTCCTGAGCAATTACACAGACAATTTGACAAATAGCTAAATTATTTTTTTTTATAAAGAGTCATGTTTTCAAACATCTTAATTTCTTTAGAAGTTGGGGTTTTTTTCTCATTTAATCCAATTGCAACTGGAGATGCTTAGAGTCCATCTGGGACCTTTATAATTAGGGCTTTAACAGCCTGAAATTATTTTCCAATTACTACTCAACACACCACTCAGTGTAGCAATACTGCTCACATTTGTCACCAGAAATCACTGGCCTTACTTTCCTCTTTGCTTTCTCATGGGTCACTAAAAAAAATTAAACAAGGTAAGGTGGAAAAACAGATTAGGATTTCTGAAAAACTATGGATCCACTGTCACTGATTCTGGCATTCACCAGGAGCAAATTACAGAAACAAAATGCATACAGAAAACCAGTTTGTTCCACTTTGTTGTGAATGAGACACTTTTGAAAGCTGAATCAACAACAGACACATTTAAAAATCTGCTGTATTTGTTGAAACAGGTACCTACTGTAATTGTCTTGCAATCTAGGGATGAAGCCAAAATGAAATTATTGGAAAAAACAAAGACAGATGTGCAAAGAACATTGTTAGCTATAGAAACAGGAAATTTATATTGAAATTTATAAGAGAAACAGCTCAGAAATCTGCTCAGAAGTATTTATGCATATGAGAAGAAAGAGAAAGGGAAAACCTTGAGGGCTTTATATTTGATTGTAGATGTTAAAACGCTTAAAATACAGGAGCTCAGTTTGTCTTTAACCTCAAAAAAACCTCCCTCAATTTCAAAAATGAGGAATCATTTTGACTTTCTTCCCTATTTTATAAAATTTTGATATGATAATTTGCTCATCCATCCATTCATTCAGACCATACCTGGGCATAAATTTTGTTTAAGAGATTCCAAACTCATCTTCCATGATTAAGGATGGTTTGGAAATGTCCACTTTTTGGACAGTGAAGATATGCTCACATGTTGTGCTATATAAATTAAAAATCATAGAATAGAAAGCATACAATGCTAATTATCAGAGGCTTTTGCAGATGTTGGAGAAAAAGAAGGGATACAGTCACTAAAAAATATCTAACAGAAATGCCATCTAACCAAAGACACTGTGGGTTCATCACCTATTACTTCTGCTGCTTATGAGACCTAGAAGCAGACCTGATTTAAAACAACAGAAGTAGCACAAAAGCAAGAATAAATCACAGAAACACAATGTATTTACTGTGGAGTACACCACAATACATAGTTAAAGAGCAAGCAAAGAGAAAAATCCATCCTGACATCAAAAAGGCTTCTCCTGAAAATAATATTTTGCTTATTACATTCATACACATCTGTCACTATAATAAGCAAAACAGCTATATGACTTTTATATTTTTCTAATTGCCAAAAAATGAATTATTTAGAAAGTACATATATATATATATACACACAAGCATTCATATCAAACCTACATAGAAATGTTTTTTTATAGATTATGTATTTTTCCATTGGTATATTCAACTGATGGAAAATGTCAGTTATGGTGTGGGGGGGAAAGAGAGGCACTATTCATGTCTACTGCTAAAATTAAAACTGTGCAAAAATAAAACAGGATTCATAGTGCCAGAAAGACTTGTTGGGTTGTGGAGACCTGGGTTCTAATTCCTGTTCCCAGAGCTAGTTCCATGTTAAGGATTTTTTAATGAAATAATGTTTCAGCATCAAAACAAGAAAGAGTTCCAGAAAATTAGGACCAAACACTGCTCTTTTAGTTGAAAGGAGCCAAACTAATTAAAAACCCTTTTGCAGGACAGACTCCATCCCCTGCTCACTAAAATTTTCTCCTTGTTTGTTCCAGAATAAATTAATCTTTCTTGAACACAGGGGGCCTGTTCCAGATTTCAACTCTGCTTTACACTTCTGCTAGTCTGGCTTTTTGTTTCCTCAAGAGGAAGGTTTCTCTCCAAGACTTAACAGACATGAACCATGGAGCCAGCAAAGCCCACCATGCTCTGCTTGTAATTCACCTTGCCAGTGCAACAGAGCAACTTTCCTGCCAAGTTCATTCCCTCTTGGTAGCAGCACATCATTCTGAAGGCTACTACCACCATTACAGTCCTAAAACATCTTTACTGTCTCCAATAAATTCACTGAATACCCATGTGCTCACAACACCTACAGATCACTTTTCTTCCCTCCACAGGAATCCATTACCTGGACAATTCACCCAGGCTGGGCTTCCCTGCACAGCTGCCTCTGGAAGAAGATTTGTAGCGCCAAAAGAGCAGCAATGTGGGAAATAAATCTTGGACACAATGCCAAAGAACAAACTCTTGGTAGCAGGGATGGATTCCAGCATTGAGCAACAACTGAAATCTGGGAGTGAACATGAATGTGGCTCTCACCTTCCTCTCGGTAAGTCTGCGTCATCTTTCTTCCACCGCACTGTGGGAGTGGGATCCCCCTGCACCTGGCACCGGAAATCCACGGCCTCCTCCTCCAGCACCACTTGGTTAATCGGTCGCCTGAGAAACGTGGGCCGCTCTTGAAAGAGACATTAAAATTCCACAGTGAGTCACAGGGCTGAAATGAACACTTTTGGACTTTTCAGCATCTCGCTGCTTACCCATCCATCAAACAGAAAGGAGGCTGAGCTCCACAAATTCAGACAAGTGGAACTGATGATGTGCATAAAGAGCCAGCAAGAGGGCTGCCAGGCTGGAGAGGCAGGGGCTGTCTCATCCCATCCTCCAGCAAGAAGAGGATGGGAAGGAGAACCAGAGGGTAGCCTGTGCCAGGACTGACCAGCTACCTTCCAGACAGTGGAGAGGCCTCTGAGGCTGTGCCCTTCCCTGGAAAAGCTGTGGCTCTGCAGCCCTGCACAGAGCCTGAGCTGGGAGCTCCTGCTGCAGCAATGTATGAGCTGGAGCAGGAGCTCCCAGCAGGAGCCAGCCAGCCTTTGGCAGAGATCAATATCTTGATACTTGTGAGGAAAATTTAAACTCCGCGTTACGCACCTCAGGCAATTGTGAACTGTCCTGCACGATCCTGAAGAGATTCCCTGATCCCCATCGCCAGCTTCACCATGGAAAACCAAATTAAGGTCTGAATAATAACTTCTGTTTACCTTTGTTATGTTAGGCTGCACAGCTACAAATAGTATTAATCACCATAATGTTGTACAGGCCTGGTCTAAAATCCAGATGCAGAGCCACAATCTGATCTCAGTTATACTGCTACAAAATCCAAGCACCGGTAATTTCATTTGAAAGGATGTCACTGGGGTTAGTTGCCAAGTTGCCTTTGGAAGGCACAATTTTTGTTCTGTCCTCTCAGCCACACCACACTTTTATTGTCATCAATAATTTATGCTAGTCAAACCATTATAAGGCTGAGTTTATATGAAACAGTATTTTCACTCAAGACAGGGATTTATCATAAGGACATGTAAAACTGGTTACACACTATGTTTCATATTTCACTCTCAGCAAGTTAAGGGATATGATGTCACTTAAAAAAATACTCAGAATTCCCACAAATGCAAGCAATACCAGATTCTGACTCAGGTAATTTTTCTTGATAACTACAGTGCTAATTTTACAGGTTTGTTATGCACAATCATTATATGCACATTTTTTTTTAAAAGTTAAAATAACATTATTAAGGTTGAAAAATCAAGCAGGCCACATTTACTGAGAGAATTAAGGCCGTCTGCATGTCTTTTGATCACTTCCTTTCTGTTTATGATGCCTTATGGGACTGGTTGCAATTATATGATCATTCACTATTTTTTCCCCAAACATCTCCAGATTGTTGGTATTCACTTAATGAGCAGGTGTTTAATATTTTGCTTTAGTGGTACTGTTTAGAGGGTGGCCTACCATCTTACTACTCAAAATGCACTTCAAAGACAAAATTATTAATTTCCTCATGACCTCTATTACACCTATCTTAATGCTTTATAATCACCTCACTTATAGCTCCTCTCTGGGGTATGACAGAGATCTTAGAAAGCAAGGTAAAAACTATATGCTAAATTTTGGTGTTCAACCTGAGCCACAAAACTGACAAATTTTTTTTTTTTTTAGGGGATGGGGAGGGGTTGGATGGAAATGAAGTTTTAATTTTGTGTGTTCAAAGCTCAGCTTCCTTTAATTCAACTGCTGACAAAAAGTGTTCATCACTTTTACAAATCGGAATATCAGTGAGAAAATGAGGAACACAAAACCACCTGTTAGTAATTATGTAAACGAGTGACAGCATCACACAGGAATTCCTTATTAGCAGGGAAACCTATTGGCAGGGGAAAGCATATTTTGTCAGCAGAAGAATAGACATGCTCAAGAATCTATAGCACCTTTCCAGATGATAGAGATAAAAGCATGGCTAACGGGCAATGATTCTTCTCCCCAAGCCATGACTTTTGTCCTAGTCCTATTCCTGCCCAGGATCTTCAGGTTCCAGCAATGTTTGGGCAAGTAAATTCATTTCTAGCCTCTCTGCTTATATTGAAATCTTTATGATTTCCCAGTTTAAGTCAGTGTACAAGTCATATCCAGCTCTTTGTAATTTCCTATTTCAAGCCTGCATACAAGCCCTATCCAGCTGCTGACAGTTTCCTTAGTCATTTTATTTTTCTTTGGTTTTTTTTATCCCAGAGATATCACTTTTCACACCTGGAGCCCAGCAAGTTCTCAAGTCTAACTCCCCTTCCAACTATCCATGCCTCTCCCTTTTTGTACCTCACAGCAAATGGACTCCTCTCCACTGAGTGTTTGGTCTGCACTTGAACTGCAGCTCCTTTTACCCAGGTCACCCAAATACAGACCATCCACAAACTTAAGGAAAATCAGCTGAAGTACCCAAAGACCCTCCCAGGAGAGTAACAGCAGCAGGAACACAGTGTAGATACAGGAAAATGCTGCCCAGATCTGCATTAATGGGTTCTCTGGTGTATGAATTGATGACTCTATTACATTTTCTCTTTTTTTTAGGCAGGTGCATATTTGGCTAAATTTACTGAAAATCCTCTGGACAAGCCAAAAAAAGAGTACAGCCCTGGCATAGTATAGCTATTTCCCAACATATTTTAGGTACCTGATATTCAGTATGAGGCACATGCACTTCTCAGGACAAAAAGCTTCCTCCATTCCTCTCATTGCTGCCCATTTCAATCCAATTATCCTCTTTGCCTCCAAACTGCAAGAACTTCAACATTCTTAGAGAAGAGTGAATTATTTTGTCAATTTAATTTTGTCAACTAAAATTGGTTTTCTAGTTAGGCATGGAAAATTTTGGATAAAGCCATTTTAATTTGATAAACTTATTACAACTGGACAAAGCAAAAAAACCCCCAATTTCTAATCCTAATGCTAAGCAATGTACTTGGCCTATCTGTAACTATGTGAATCTGGATGGGAGTATTTTAATGACACTTCTGCAAATTTTCAACAGCATGGTTTTTACATCTTCTCCCCTAAGAAGAGCTTAGACCAACTCCTGCTCTCAGCTCATCCACAATACTCTTCATTTTGGCATTTGTTTTTCAAGACATGATGCTTTCAATTTCTCTAAACCAAGAAATTCAGATCTATATCAGCTTTCTAATTGGTGATTAGAGGCCCTGGTTCATTCCCATTGAATTTAAACAACTCCGTGTCTGTACATTGGCTTGGTCTGCATGCAAAAATCATTTTAGACCAGGTTTACAAAAGCTGCATGTAAACAGCTTAGAAATTAGAATGTGCATACTTATGAAATTGCTACTTGTGGCTGTAAATTCTCCTGTACAGGAGATGAGAAAATAAATTTCTGTCTCATTTTGAGGAGAACCCAGCTGAGGAGAAAGTAAATGGCCCTGAGGTCATTAGATAAATCACTGGATTCCACAACAAGGCAATTTGTGAGAATACACACATATTTGTTTCATATCAGCTTCTAGAACTGTATATTTTCAAAAACATTTAAGAAGTTGCTAGAAAATTAATAGCTATGTAAGGACAGAGCCCAGTTAGCAAGGACATGTAAATACCAACAACTGCTGTTTCCATTTTTGCATCATCTCTGCATTTTGCACAGCGGGAATCAGGAAAGAACAAGTTCTCTCCTATGTTGTTTCCTGTATTTGTATCACTCAGAAAGCCCCTTGAATATGTCCAATAGCTAATTATACAGCTATAAAGTGATCAGAGTGAATGCCATTGCCAATGCAATTAACATTCTTTATGTGAGATTAACTGGATTTGAGTCACCTGCATAACTTGCTTACAATGTTAATCTCTCAGGAGACAGAGCACTGCTTGCCCAAGCATGCTAAATAAAGAAGGTTTCTTTGCACAGCCAGGTCAAATTTAGTTTCACAGCTAGTCTTGGGGGAAAAAAAAAAATCATTTTTTTTTCCTCTGAAATGGTTTGCCCATAAATAAAGCCTTGTGGTATAATTAAATATTGTTACTCTGTCAACAGCATCCAGAGCACAATATATTTGAGAAACAACAAGAAAGGGTGATAAATTAAAATCATAGCCATATATAAAAATTTTAATATAGCTATTTTATAAGCTTTCACTGAGTAAATAAAGTACCCACTTCCCAGCCTTTCTCTGATGAATATTAAAAATCTTTGAGGAGAACTATAAAATAGGTCATAGTTATATGTCATGTCAACCAGTCATGCTATTACTAGGGTGACCTTTATAACTTCAGAATAAACTTTGCTTGCAGTTATAAAAGGGGATTGTTAATGCAATCTGGACACACACCTACAATCTGTTGCAGAGCTTGGGGTATGTGCTGCAAGGAAACTCACAGATCTGAGCCAGAAACAGCAAAATTATCTTCTTGCTCTGGGTGCTGACACAAGTTAACCTCAGAACTCAATTTTTCCCATATTTAACAATTGGTCTGAGTATCACAGTCTATTAGAGAGACTCAGATGACCTTCAGATGTATTATTGCCCTTTTCCTGTTCCTCAAAAAGTTAGACAGCCATATATGGGGCCTCAATCTAATTAAAATGATCCTAACTACCTTAATATATTTTCTCTGCTGAGGCAACTGCTAGAGTGAAGGATTTGATGGTCTTCATAATGTAGAGCCTCAATCTGATTTAGAATTGCTCTTGTTTTCTCTCTCTTTGCTGAATAGAATGCAACATTTTCTTAAAATGTTTTTGTGCTCTAAAAAGAACATTAAAACACAAATTAAAAGGCTTTGGGGAGGGATTTAACAGCAAATAGTTACATTTAAAAGCTTTTTGCACTTTACCATTCCAATTCAAAAGGGAAAAAAAAGGAAACATCAGATGGTTGGAATTAAGTTTCACTTCAGAATGCTGTCAATAGCATAGATATTTCATTAAATGCAACGTGATCTGGATGAAGTAGAGCTCTCTGCCAAAAAAAGAACAAGTGGAAGAAGACAGGATATTACGACCTCACTAAATTTACCTATGCTGCCCAAATAAATGAAAACTGCAAAAGAAGGTGGTTTTATATTTATAGGCATTATTCTATCTACATTATTCCCTTTTTCATTTGAGAAATAGGCACTTGTGTGGACATCACAAACTCCTACACTCTAAGCAGCACCCAAGGCATGATGAGCTTGCACAGTAAAGGCAAGGAACACCAATAAGAGGCAAATGCAGCAAAATTAATGTTTTCAGCTGCTAGTGGTTTTCTTCTTTTATATAAATCTACAGTCATGTTAATTACAGTTTTTACTGACTGTTACATACAGACTTTGGGGACCAAATCAGACACTTTTTTTCAGAGCTATATTGTTATTCTATAACAACTTCTTGGTATTTGTGGATAACAAATAATCTAAAAATCTAAAAAAATGGCTTTTTCCAAACTGCCACCAGTAGACTGCAAGTGGAAAATACAGGGATTTGAAGAAAACCAGGAGGAGACTTGATCTGAAGGACAAAATACACACTGTTGATTTCTCTTTCTTGACCTATGAATGTATATCTGGTTTTGGAAGATTTTTCCATGTGCCTGGGAAAGCTTTCCAGGATACAATGGGTCAAGACTCTGCTAAGGTCTTCCACATAGGCAGAGGTCAAAAAAGTAAAACGGGGCACGGTGTCTTCATTAAAGGGATTTTGGGGATTTTTTTCTTCTAACACCATGTCATCATAGTCATTCTTTTCCTAAAACTAGGGTTTCTCTTTCAGCCTGACAATATCTACAAAACATCAAACACAAATACTTCCTCAAGCATCAGACAAGAATACCTCTTCATCCCACAGGACCTTATTAGTTGAAAAAAGGTTCAGATACCAAAGAAAAAAATCAAAGATTAATCCAAAACAATCTTTAATATGTCCAAATTGACACATCTTTTAAAGATATTTTTTACTCTTCTTACTTATGCTTTATATTCTTTTGAGGCTCTTCTAAATATATCTTTTTCCACTGCTTGATGCCAGCCTCTTGAAGTTGATAGACTAAGGCTTTCATTGATTTCACTGAGCTTTAGAATCAATATACAAGATATACCTTTGTACATTCTCTTCAAACATTGCCATTTTAAGTGCAAAGGGAAATAAAAGAACATGAAACAGTTAACTTGAAAACTTACCTCAGAATGGTGAAGTAGCATGACAATATGATAAAGGTTATCATAAAGAGTAATTCCTTCTTTATTTGATTTCTGGCTCCATATTATGTATTTACAAACAAAGCTTTCATACAAATTGAAATTAAACTGTTTCTGTTTTGCATCTTGCTTTAATTCTGTTCAGCCACAGGCTATGAGCCCAAACACAAGCAATGCAACCTAATTTGTATCACTTACACTTTGGAAATTGGCCTTTAGAATAGTGTGCCCACCGTAATCAAGTCCCACGCTGCCTCTTTTTGTGATTATTAGGACTGAGGTTAACTTCCTTTAAAGTGCAACTTAAGACTGTGACAGACTCTGTCCTTCTGCTTTACTCCAAGATTACACCTTGGAGCCTCATAAAGGCAAAAACTAGCAGTAATGCTTGAGAAAGAAGACTAACAAAATGTAGTGCATCTTGGTCACTATTCAAAACACAGTTTTGGATAGCACTGCTTATATGATCTTTATGGTATTTTACTATGAAAACCTGGCAATCTTCTCCTAATAGAAGAATCATGACTTGAGAACAAAACTAATGCAATCTGCATTGACACTAACAGTTTACTGTTAGGAGAGCCTGAATGTTGAAAACAATGTTTCCTATGCAGGTAAACTTAGGGGAAAAAAGTGAAAGTTCTACATGTATTATTCATAACTATCTGTCAGTAATGGTTATTGAATGGGTACCTAGCCAAGTGGATGTATTCTGCACATGGGAAAATTTTATTTTCTCCCCCTACTGCTTCCCAAGGTTCTTATGACCCATTTTATTTTACTGTTTTTAAACTCAAGAAAAGTGTAATCTTTCAGTCTAGGCTTCCATGCTGTTCCTCTTGGGCCACCAGTTCCCACCACACTGACTCAGTTTTTCCAGAGGCAATGCCTCAAGCTAAATTTACTGTACAGGGAGCCAGAGATCTGTCACAAGTCACATGCAGAAGTTAACTTCAGGTATTACAGAAAAACTTGCAAAGCCAAAAGTAACAAGGAGATGGTTTTTGGAAAGGTTTGAGAGCTAGTATGAACAGTTCCTTTTCCTACATACCATGTTTACTAAGGCTCCCTTCACACTGTGGAAAGGGTTTGGAGGGTTGTTATTTGGGAAAGGAATGAAGACATGACCGATCAGCTAAATAATATACATTCCTTTCCAGAATCAGCACCAGCTATAGGCTTGCCAGTCCCCTATTAAAATTCTCCAAGTCGTTCAGTCAAGATCTCCTTATTTTTATTGTCCATTTTCAAATATCTTCAAAGCAGTTAAAGTTTGGCACATGAATTGCATATAAGCGTTTCTAGTAGATTTTTCATCAACATTTGCAGTATTCCCATGTTCCTCAGACCTGTGAGTCATATTAGAGGAAGGCTGTGGACCTAACATACAATCCTGGTGGTTTTGCCTGTGTTCAGTGAAGCCAATTTAAACACGTAGAGCCAATCTGATGTTTCCCAGAGTTATTGGATTTATTGGATTTAATGTGAGTGCTTGGAGTCCTTGGACTGTCCAGTAGATACACTGCTTCCTGGAAACATCATGGATAATGCTCTCCAGCCACTGTGCACATCCCTGCTCACACATGGGCTGCTGCCTGGAGTCTAGGAATGGACTATAACTGCTGGATACAATGGGCAAGTCCCCTCCTTCTGTACGGAGAGGACCAGGACTAGCCTGGACATGATGTTACAGGCTGAAGCCCAGTGCACCAGCACAGAGCTTCAGGGCCAGGAGGTGCCCAGGAAATGGGCACAGGGCAGCCAAACCACATTGTGAGACAGCAGGCCATAACCTGAGCACCTGCCTCCTGCATGCCATCCTTGCACAGCAAAAAGGAAGGTGGGGAGGTGTCTGGGAATACCCAGAGAGAAGGAAAAATGTAGACAGGAAGATACTGCAGTGGGGAATTTAAAATACAATTTTCCTCAGGTAGTCTAACGCAATTAAGAAGGATTAAAATATCTAATTTCATTTATTGCTGATTTTGTTTGGTATTCACCAAATAGTTTTAGATTGTATTTTTGCAAGTTGATTGCTATGATTATACCCTGTAAAAAAATCAGAATATTGTAATTGGTTATGTATTATTTTACATATCAAGACGAACCTAATATGCTTCATAGCTCTGCAGGATATGAAATTACATGCACATTTCAGTTTTCATTCCTACAGTTCAATGCTTTTTAACAAATTATTTTCTTAAGGATTTCTTAAGGCTTTGTAGTTTAGGACTGCAATCTGCTTGCTATCCACAGGGAGTATTACCAGAGATTAGCAGTACTTAAACTGATGAAGGAGATATGTCATGTCTCTTTTGCATCTGTATAAAGCTACAACTCTAACAGATTGGCTGCAAAGGGCATAATAATTTGACAGGGATCCTTTCTCTGGGGTGTTTTTTGGCAAGGTATAATAGTTCTGCCTTTAAAAGCCACACGTTTCCATGAATCCACAACAAACCAGTTGGGGTGGAAACCTTTTCACTTCAGAAAAACTGGAAAGCTGCATATTCTCATAAATTTGTGGATCTTTCTAGCAAAAATCTTTCTCTGCCTTTTGTGAATCACATAATATATATATATATTCTTTTCAAGTGGATAAAAAAATGTTGAATTGCACATACATACAAACTCAGAGGTGGCAATACGGGTGACTGGGTTTTCCAGTGCACCATCTTAGGCAGAAGGTGAAAAACCTCTGGAGCATCTGCTTCACAAAGGACCTCAGGATTTCTATTAAACATCTCTCTGGGGTTACAAAAGGTCTTGTTTGGAATTCCAGTACTGTATCAAAGAGCTGCAGCAGGATGGAACATTAACATTATTTCTCTCTCTTTTGTCAGCATAGACATGTTTTCCTTAGCAGTGAGGGTTTTTTCCTTATTGATCTTCCTTTGTTTGCTCAGAACCTCTTGACTAATTCCTACAAACCCATGACTTTAGGAAGACCTCAGCATGGTTTTGTGGCTTTGCTTCTTATCCAGTTGTTAGCAGGATGGATCCAGCTCTAGGCTGGGTTATTACTCTGTTCTTGCTCTGGACCGTAACTATGGGCCAAGTGCTCCTAACAACCAACTTTTTGCCTTGCCCATCAGGTCTAGAAGTTCTTTCACACAGGAAACTTAGTCATTTTTAATTCATTCAGCAGCACCAAAAATCTAAATGCTGTCCTGGTTTACAACAGGAACAGCTGTTTCAGGTTGTCTTACAAATGAATGCTAAAAGTTACTGCTATATATTCAAAATTTTGATTTTGGAATTGTTTCTAATGATGTTTTATTGATCAAGTATGGGTTTTTTTGTGCTTTCCTACAAAGGTTTGATTTCACAACCCCTCAGGAAGATGGAATTATTTAAATAGGCAATCCTGGTCTAAATCTCTGGCAAGCAGGCATTGTCAACTGTATTAGAAGTACCTTAATTACATTTGGCTACTTTGTCAGGGAGAGCATTGTCCTGCAATAACATCTCTGGTTATGCACATCACGGTGGACCTCCAATCAAACTGAAACTATGTGCTTAGAAGGAAAATCTTGAGCCACCACAGCTCCATCATTATAAACTGCAGCTTTTAAAACCTGGTCTCCTTCTGAAGCTGTGAAGTGCATTTTGAGCAGCACTGCTGTGTCTCGTGTTTTGAGGAGCCACCCAGGGTAATTCAGCCTCTGACATTTGTAGGGAAAAAGCAACGAAAGCAGGGGTGTCCTTACCAAAGACAGTCAACTCTGCAGGGTCACTGTCGCGCTCCCCCACCATGTTGGTCCCCACACACGTGTACATCCCTGCATCACTTTTTCTGGTGTTGGAGATCATCAGCTTCCCACCACGGATCTGTTTCAAATCAAGGAACATAACTTCAGGTTAAACAAAATACAGGTAGCTTCAGGTAAACAAAATACATCAGAAAAAGTGCTACCTTCTCGGGAGACAAGTTCCACAACCAAGACATTCTAAACTTTTGTTTGTAAATACATGTATAGTTTTAAAATTATATACTTAGATATTTAAATATCTTGAAGCTGTTCTATTTTTATCCCACTAATTTCAATTTGCAACTAATTTCAACTGCGTTTGATCTTGTTCCTTTGGCTTTCATTAGATTCTTTACATTTCAAAGATTACATTTCTTGCTGTCTCTTGGCAGCACAGAGTACTTTTATTTCTTGCATGGTAATATGTAAAGCACTCTTGACATCTCTCTGAAAAAACAACGCAATTCGACTTAGTTTTATTCAGATAATTTTATTTTACTGGTGTCTGAGCAGTTTCCTTGATCACTAATAAAGGCAGATTTTCTCTTTTTGTTGAGGCAAATGGACTGAATCTGGCCCAAACTGGGAATTCACCTGACAGTTCATATTTTCTTGGCGCTTACAGAGAGAAAGAGCAGGATAGATGAAAGAAATAAAATAAAAATTTGTGGCTTGTGAAGTCACAGTGTCAAAGGTTAGACAATGGGATTCTTCAAAATAAGCTAGGGATTTAACTAAAGAAACTTGAGAGTCAGGGGATGATAGCCAGCTCTCTGCCACTCTTTGCTCTTCTACTCTTGAGTAGACCCTAGCACAGACAGCCTGGTTCACCAACAGCAACATCTCAGATTATTTGGCTTGGAATAATTCCTTAGGGATCCAGAGCCACTAAAAAGCTTCCTGATGGTACTTCCATGTTGAATAAGGTCAGCACTGAATCATTCCATACAACATAAAAGTTTATTGAAGAAATATTAATGGTGAAAAGCTAAGCATTTAAAACTTAGGAATGAAACATGTTCTCAACCCCTTAATTTATCCGATTTGCTTGCATGGACCATGATTTATCTCTAATCACTTGATAAGTTCAATATTTCTGCTGGATCCTTTTTCATACAGTACAAGAAATGAACAGCCACAGAATTTAACCAGTGTTACTCATTTGCTCAACATTTATTCCTTTTCAGGAACCGTAATTCTTTAGAGTATGACTTCAACCTACATTTAGACACATCCAAATTACTGCAATAACTATAAAATCACTGGTATCATTCTAAGATGTTGGGTTTTCTCCCAGAGATTATTTGTGCCCTGTCTCAGACATCTTTTAGGAAAAATCCTTTCCTTAGGATTTTTTCTCCTGAGAAGCTGAGAGGCTTCAGGAACAAAATGTAAACATTGATTATCTGCTACTGTGGAATGCAACAGGTGGATCTGTGATTGGTCTTATGTGGTTGTTTCTAATTAATGGCCAATCACAGTCAGCTGGCTCAGACTCTGTCTGAGACAGAAGCCTTTGTTATCATTCTTTCTTTTTCTATTCTTAGCTAGCCTTCTGATGAAATCCTTTCTTCTATTCTTTTAGTATAGTTTTAATGTAATATATATCATAAAATAAGAAATCAAGCCTTCTGAAACATGGAGTCAGATCCTTGTCTCTTCCCTCATCCAAAGACCCCTGTGAACACCGTCACAGTGCACCTCATAGACTTGACTGAATTTACTTATAAACACCTCTCTGATATTCTCCGTTTGGAGAACTGCGATGTAGAAAAGGTAAAACCAAACTGGTCAAAGACATCCACCGAGTCCTTCATCTAACTGAGCACCTTCTAGGGCTGAATCTCCAGCTCTAACACACCTCCATCACACTGGATTTACAACCCAACCCTCAAAGAAGCTCAAGCTGGAGAGCCAGACTAGGAGCAACTAACAGCCTGCCCCCCTCATTTGGGAAAGCTCAGAGATGCAAACTGCTGAGAACAACAAGCAATTTCCACGGGCAAGGCTGCAAAGCTGTGTAAGTTCTGTTGCACCCAGCTCTGAGTCCTGAGCCCACAGATGAGGAGCCCCTGAGCTGTACTCACACTGATGCGCTCCTCCCTGTCGTCAATGCGGACTTTGTCCTTCTTCCAGTAGATGGTGGGCTCGGGGTGCCCCCGGGGCGGCTGGCACTCCAGGATCGCAGGCTCCCCTGCTGCCACCACCACATCCGTCGGGTTCTGCCGGAAGTCATCCCGCAGCACTGCAGCAATAAAAGAAGGAAAAGGGGAAAAAAAAAAATTAACAGAAGTGATGGCATTGTAAGTGGAGGAAAAAGAATGTAGAAACCCATGCTATTAAACAAACAAGTCTGAACCATTATTAGTGGATGACTTTGCTTCTTATATTGACTGTAAAAGATGTCAAAAATGAAGCTGGGCAGATATGCCCTTTTGTCCATTGGAATCAGACTTCACACCACACAGGCAAATTGCCTTTTGTTTTCCTTTTTTTTTTTCTTCCAGATAAGAACACTGCTCTGTATTTAAGTTACAAAGATGTGTAGCACCCATTACTCCTCCTAACTTTGACAGGATGACTTTCCATCACTACAAATGCAGCTCTGCAGGTTGGGTGTTAAGCTCTTTTCACGACAGAAAACAACCTGCTGAATATCTGCCTTGTCTGGGTCTCCAATTCCAGCACAAGGTAACAAAGGGACAGAACTAATACTGAACTGCAGAGTTACACCTTGGCCAAGGGCATTGCCATTATTACTGTTACTATCGTATTTCTGGCACATAGATGCTAAAATGGTCACCAGTTCTGAAAGGTGTCAGAGAAATAAAACTGATAGCAATGCACTTCCAGCATATTTATTTCTTCCTTCTATATTTTTAGTTCTAATATTTCTGCCACCTTGACCAGCCCTATCCTACTACACTGAAAAGAAAGAGCATTTAAATCACCAAGCTGTTTGAGAACTAAATTAGGCTACACAGACTGGCTTCTTATGTAAATCAAGCTTCTGTAAAGGATTAGGTCCAACTAGCGGCTTCAGTGTGTTAGAATGATATCCACTTCATCCTTATTCTTCCGTGTGTGTCCTAGTCTCTAGGTTAATTGACATTCTTATAAACATAAAACTGAAAATAGCTCTAGATGAGCTACTGAAATAGAATTTAGGGCATTGCCCCTCCTTGAATTCCAGCTAAGCATGGCTTTCATTACAGCTTTAAAACAGTTCTCGCCCTTAATGGAACCAGGGCCCTCTGAGAAATTAGAAAACACTGTATCCTAGCGAAGGGGCAAGTCAGGAAGAGTTCAGCAGAAATTGCTCAGTCTCATTTCATAAGCAGAGATAATTTACTGCTTTCAATGTTAATAAAACGTGCCCCATTTTAACATTTGGAACTGCATATTTTTCTCTTCTGTAATAAGCCAGAAGAAAAATATGATTAATACATAGAAGAATTGGTCCCTGAATAGTCTGAGGTGAGTAGGCTGTATGTATTTGGCACTCGAAATGACATGGAGGTAACTTTTATTGTTCTCCATTTTGGGATACACAGGTAGATCCCAGAGGAAGGAGGGAATTAATTGGAAGTTAATTCCTTTTCTAACTCACACACAAAAAGAGTGACTATTTAGGTCTCGCTCTTGAAGCATAAAATAAAAGTGACAGGAGGCAGCTGGCAACAAATGCAGCTCTGGCAAGAACCCGTAGTCTTCTTAGGTGACACACCCAATAGACAACAAAAAACTCAATCCCCAAATATTTCTGAGAAATCCAAGCCTTCTGATGCACAATAAGCAAATTGGCAGAAATTGAATTTATACAACTTCAAGATCAAACGGAAGAAGTAACTTATATGATGAAGTAACTTAGTGTGATGAAGATCATGGGCTGCTGACTATTGGCAGTACAATACTTTGGAAAGTCAAGAAAGTCAATATCATGGGAATGTCAGAGAAAGAACCAGAAAAAAAGTCTTAAAAAACCATGTTTGTTAGGAAAGCAGTTTCATATGTCTCTGTGATCCCCATGATACACAGGAAGAAAAAGTACTTCTAGACAATGCAATGCCCACATTTGTATAAATGGTAAATAGATAAAAAAATTAATTTCTGCTACTATTATTACACACAAATATTATTTTTACTGGCTTGGTTCTACATGTAATTACAGAACTTCAGTGCAGATCCATTAGTGGCAAATCCCCAGAAAAATCAGCAGATCCCACCACATAATGGCTTTATATTCCTGACTCCTAACTCCTGGCAGCAATATTAAGGAAAGCATTTTCCTTGAACATTTCACACTGCTGTATGAACCTGACAAACACAGTTTCTTGCAGTGATACACAGCAAATTACATTAACTTTCTCTGAATCATCCCAGCAACTGTGTAAGGCTCCAATCAGCCTCAGAATATGAGGCTAAGAGGTGATTTGATTTTATCACATTCCTTTACCCAAAGCCGCACTGCAAAACTGGCTTGAATAGAAGACAAAATTGATGCTACAGGCTTTGCTTAATCTTGCTCTGTACCTCAGCACATACCTGAATCTTGAATAGGTATATCTCACCATTTCCATCTAAAGCATTCTGTGTTTTGGAGGGGGAAAAAAAAAGGTTGGAGAAAAAAGAAAGAGGGAAAAAAATAAAGCAGTGACAGGCAAAGATAAGAGAAAAATGCATGAAATATAAATTAAAGTGAGAAAATAACTCTGAGAGGAAGAGGGGGAAGACTAACTTTAGGGAAACAAAAAAAGAAAAAGCCAGGTAAAGGAAGGGAAAAAGAAGAATAAAAGCAGAGAGAAAAACAAGGTAAAGAGCAAAGAGCACAGGCAGCCATTCCTGTGATTCAGTATCTTAATGCAATCTAACAACAATGAAATAAAGCACACACGTTCATCTGATCAGCCCAATCACCCCAGAACATCCAAATACCACCCCAAGAGAGAGGGAACAGGGAAGAGGAGGGCAGAGCATGAGCTGGTGAGCTTGGCTGTTCTCCTGGGGTGGCACAGGAAGCCACAGAAGGAAGAACCATCAGCTGGAAGCTGAGTTCGCATGTACTAGCACAGTAAATGGAAAAGCTGCAGCACATCTTGGTGCACTCACCACACCTAATGGTACAACCATCTGTGAAAACAGAAAACTGATTGAGAGCTGCAGAATATTCCTCAGCCAATTATCCACAATTGCTAGGTACTTCCAAATGACTATTAGTGTGCCTGAGAAGACCCTCTCCCCACACAGGCAAAAGGCTTTTGTTCACCTGAGAAGCCAGCCCTCCTCAGGGCCCTTTTGGCAGGGCACAAACACTAGTGCTTTATAAATTGAACACAAGCAGCACCATGTTGCCATCAGCCTCCTCTTCCTCATTCTTTCTTGGATGTTCTTGCTTTGCCTTATTCCAATTTTGGTGCTTGCATGGGTGTTTCCCTATATTTTTGGGTGTTACCTCACATTCTTTACTGTGAGGGTGGCGAGGCCCAAAGAAATTCTGGATGTGCCATCCCTGGAAATGTCCAAGGCCAGTCTGGGTGGATCTCTGAGCAACCTGGTCTAGGAAAGGCATCCCTGCCTCTTCCTCATTTTTTGTTGGATGTTCTTGCTTTGCTTTATTCCAATTTTGGTGCTAGCATGGGAGTTTCCCTATATTTTTGGGTGTTGCCTCACATTCTTTGCTGTGAGGGCAGCAAGGCCCAAAAAAGTTCTGGATGCCCGATCCCTGGAAATGTCCAAGGCCAGCCTGAGTGGATCTCTGAGAAACCTGGTCTAGGAAAGGTGTCCCTGCCCATGGGGTATTGGGTGATCTTTAAGACCCTTCCAGGCCAAACTTTTCTCCTATTTTATGACTAAACAAGGGGTGTCAAAGGGGAAGATGGCCCCCCAGCCCTGGGAGTGCAGCACAGCCATACCCCAGGGGCTGGTCCCCCCACCAGCCCAACAGCAGCACAAACACCCTCATGTTTCAAAAGGCAAAACCTTGCAAGGGCAAAAGCTTCCAGATGGTTGAGCCCCACTGTCTGGAAAGGCACCGAGGGACAGGAGAGCTGCAAAGAGCAGCTAAAGCATGCACAGAGCCTGCAACGGCGCTGCGGACAAAAGTTAATTAAAGTTTGATCGGTCTCTTTGTGGCTCAAACAAGCTGATGCTGCTCAAACAAGAGAGATGGCTGAAAGCAGTCATGGCTGTCTTTAAGGCAAGCAAAGCCCTGCACGGCCATTTCCAGGTAGCCAGGAGTGTAACCAGGGAAAGGGAGCACATCCAGCAAGGGGATAAACACACGGACATGCACCTGCCAGAGAGAGGGATGAGGGGAAGGAGCAAAAAGGAGCCCCCGCTCCCAAGGCAGCTGCTAACCAGCACCTGCCAGCTCAGGCCCAAATCCAGGCCTCGGTCAAACTGAGGCTCATAAACACAGGGAATTACATGGAAACTGAATTAATTTCCTCAGCTTAGGTTCCAGCAATTTGTTTAAAGGAAGTGGAGATAAAGGCACGATGTTTATGGGGTAGGAGGGAAGGTGGCGGGGTCAAAATTATTCTAGGCTAGATATCCATGCCTTAATCCTTCTTTCCAGCTTTTAGGCCCTTAGAAACAAAACATTTTTATAGGATTTACATTTACATGATGATTACAAATAACCATCTGTCTGCTTCCACTTTTTCAATCTGGTCCATGTCCCACGAGCCCCCAGCCTGTGGTCAGAGCAGCTAAGCTGGAAGGAAGAAGTGGATGCCCGTCAGGAGGCTTTGGGATAATTGCATTCTTCTCCCACCAGCGCTTGTCTCTCAACCTCCTCCCCCTCTGTGTGCATGGTGAACATCTGAAATTACCGGGGACAGGAGGGAGGGAAAGAGTATCTTTGTTGCCCTTTTCAATGAATTATAATGTCTTAAAACACAGCTACATCTGTTGTGCTGACTAGAGGGTATAAAGAGATATCGAGTAAATATTAATGCGCTTCTGTAACTTGGGTCCTGGCAGCTCATCTTCCCCCTCCTGTCCTGTTTTGTGCTTATCTCAGAATTATGTTATTCTCATAAAAAGATTTTACACAGCCACATCAGTGATGGTTTGGTCACCTGCCACACCACAGGTAGGTCTCTCCTGATTCAAGGCACTTCCCCACAGGCATTTTCCTAAATCCTCATCTCTCCACCACTGCTTTGGCACTTCCCCCCTCTGATACATACTGATATGAACAATCGACATGAGTTATTAAGTCAAATAACCGCCCAGATGTCA